AGCAGCGGCAGCTGCTCTTCTTTTCTCTCCCCCTGCAAAACCGCTGCGCCTGTCAACGCTCTGCAGCAGCCCCTGCAGCCCGTGGCACTGCACGCACACAAAAGGCTCCCCACAGGCGCTGGCTGCGCCTGCTTTTCTGAACGCGGGCCTGCTTTCCTTGTGCTTGCAGCAGATGGAGCGAAGGAAGGGAAGAAGGTGGTGATCTCATGGCCGCTGGCTTGGAGAGGAACGGCTGTCCCCGGGGACTGCCCAGGGCAGCTGGGCTCTGGCCCCCAGGTGGCTCTCTTTGGGCAGCCGCTGGCACTGCTCTGTGGTGAAGGTGGCGCCCTGCCCCAACCACTCCAGGTAAGCAAGCCTGGGCCCAGAGCTCTCCCGCTTGTGGCTTCTCGCGCCACGCAGCATGCCCAGCACTGCTGCTGGGGCTCTCAGCACAATCAGGTTCCTCCCAGGGCAATCTACGTGGAGCGAGAACGACAGCCTAAGCCAAGGAAAGCAGAGTGCACGGCCACGTCCCAACCGGTCTCTTTCCGCCTGCAGGAGCTCCTGGCTCTTCTCTATGAGAAAGGGCCGGCCACTGAGGGGATTTTCCGGAAAGCTGCCACCGAGAAGGCCCGCCGAGAGCTGAAAGAAGACCTTGACAGAGGCAGGAGCGTGGATCTGGCAAGCCAGCCCGCGCACCTGTTGGCAGCGGTGCTGAAGGTGAGGTCTGCTGACTTGTAGCTGGGAGAGCACGTGGGAAATGTGCTTGGGCCCATGTCAGTGCCTAGCCTGACCGGGGAGCTGAAAGCAACCTGCCTCCTAGTGAGGCCAAGGCACGCAGATGCTGCCTCGCTGCTCACTGCTAGCGTTGAGAGCCTCACCTGAGTGCCTTGGCCTTGCAGGACTTCCTGAGAAACATCCCCTCCAAACTGCTCGTGGCCGAGCTCTATGACAAGTGGCTGCTAGCGCTGGAGAAGCCCGGGCAGCAGGAGAAAATTGAGGCCCTGCGAGAGTAAGTTTGGCAGCCCGCCCCGCCACCGCTCGGGCGCAAACGAAGGAGGAGCAGCCCCTGCAGCCTGCATTCCTCTTCCTCCTTGCTTGTGTTCCCTCAGGGTGGCTGGCAAACTGCCTCGAGCAAACCTCCTCTTGCTCCAGCGCTTGCTCTCTGTGCTCCACCATATCAGCGACAATGCAGAGAGCAACCGGATGGATGCCAGCAACCTGGCAATCTGCGTGGGGCCAAACATGCTCAGCCCCGACACGGACAACTTGCTCCCGCTGGCCGTGCACAAAGAGAGCATTGACAAGGTGGGTTGAATTCAGCAGCTTGCTCCCCGCTGAGCTGAGCCTAAGGCGGCCTTGGTTGCTTCGGGCCACCTGAGGCTCTGAGCTAGGCAGCTGCAGCTGGCGGGTACAGAAACGTCCGTCAGGAGCACGGAAGGCTGCGCAAGACGTTTGCAGCCCCTCGCACTGAACTCGGTGGCTTTCTGTGTGCAGGTGACACTGCTGGTGGCGTTCCTCATCGACAACTGCGCAGCAGTGTTTGGGGAGGACGTTGCCTTGCCGCTCAGGCCCTCGGCCGACGAGTCACCAGAGCACACAGACAGCTCCACAGGTAGGAGCGTGCACTGCTGATTGTGGCGGGCCAGGGCTGCCGGGTCACGTTCTCTCATTGGCTGGCAGAAGACATCTGTGGAAGGGCAGAGAGGTGCAGAGGCTTCCCGAGGGAATGGCAGTGTTTTTCTCCTGCCACACTGTGCAGCAGTGCAAAAGCACAACAGCCCAAAAACATTCCTTCCAGATGGCAAGCCTCCGTAAACGCGGGTAAACCGCCGCTTGTCACCTAGTGGCTAACCGTGGCCTAGAACTGCCCTCTCGCAGCACATCACTGCCCTTGGTGGTACCTGTGTTTCCTTACCTTCTCCTCATGTCCATAGGAACGAAGGTTGCGCCTTTGCATCTGCCGGGGGGCACGGTGCCACCGGGAAAGTCCCCTTGGATCTTCAGGTGGCCGCCAGAAAGTATCTCACAGGCTCTTTCTCCCCACAGAACGCCCCTGTGCTGCTCCGCAGAACACTTGTGCCTGCGACAGCCCTGAGGCTGGAGCTGCTGGCAGCCCCCCGCCCTCGGACATGGAGCAGCCCAAAGGGGGAAGCGCTTCTGTGAGCAGCAGCTATCCAACCTGCGCCTCTGTCCCTTTGCTGGCTATTGGGAAGAAGGATATCAGCAGGATGGAGAGGAGCTTCTCCGAGCCGAACCTGTCCTTCTAGGCCAACAACTTGGCAGGCAGCCGAAGGGACCCGGAGGCAGCCAAAGGGGAGGAGCTTTTTCCCAGGCAGCAGGAAAAGCTAAGGCTGGAGAAGAGGGTGCTGGAAAAAAGGCCTTGCCAGCTTGCCTCCACGCTTAGCAAATCGCCCTCTCTCCCCAAAATATCCTCCAGCTGCTCCCTGGAGAGCCCCTTCTCTCCTCGGATGGCTCGCTCTTCCCCAGCTCTAGCCTAGTTTCACTCCTTCGGCCCCAGAAAAGCTACTCAAAGAAGACCCAGGCTTTTCCCATCAAGCCCGCTGAGAGCACAGCAGGACACCTAGCCGAGAGATCAGATAGTGCTCCAGGGCATTGTCTTTTGCCAGCCGCAGCAAAGCGCTCCAAAAACATCCCACATTTTGGAGACCTGGAAGACGTGAGGTTTCCGAGAGCCAGCTCCTCAAGGAAAGACAATCTGTTCTGCTGCACACCTGTCCAGGCAAGGAGGCCCAACAAGAACAATCCTGTCAAGAGGTTACAAGGCTCAGCACCTGCTGGAAAGGAGGACGGAAAAACCTGTGCCAGAATCTAGATGCGTGGAGGTCCCAGATATTCCGGCACCTTTGGATGCCGAAAACTTGCAAGGCTGAGAAGGAATGTTGGTGTTTTGAGGGCCTAGAAGACGTGAGGTTTCCAAGAGCCAGCTCCTCAAGGAAAGACAATCCGTTCTGCTGCACCACTGTCCAGGCAAGGAGGCCCGACAAGAACAAGCCATTGCCTGTGGGGTATCGGCAAAGGCCCCATTTCAGGGCAGCGGAAGAAGTGTTTAGAGAGCAGAGGAATGGTGGAGCAGAGGAATGCGGCAAGAGCACTCTCTTAGGAAGAGCCCACAAAGGACTGCCTGACCACTCAAGCTCCCTCCGACAGTTCCCCCCATGAGACCCACAAAGGCAGAGCAGGATGCTTTGCCACCCTGCCCGTGCACCAGCCGAGCACAGGACGCAGCGGAGATGGCTCCAAGGCATGTGCTTAGGGTCCAAGTTTCTGCCCTCAAGCATGTGGAGGTGGCAACTGCAACCCCCAAGGAAGGCTCCTGCTGGAAGAAACTCTGGTGTGAGTTTCCCTCACGCTGAATGACCCCTTCTCGGAGCTGGTCGATGGAGAGACAGGTCTGAGTTCTGTCACGAGATTACAATGCTCCGCCCCCACTGGAAAGCAGAACGGACAAACTGTGCCAGAACCCGGCGTGAAAGGAGGACGGAAAAACCTGTGCCAGAATCTCTATGCGCGGAGGTCCCAGACACTCCGGCACCTTTGGATGCCAAAGACTTGCAAGGCTGAGAAGGAAAGTTGGGGTTTGGAGGTCGCACTTTGCAGGGCTCGGTAGTCTTGGAAGACCTCTGCATGGTTTGCTGAAGAGAAACTCAGCGTGGAAGTGGGAACAAAAGCCTCCGGAAGCACTAACTGCTTCCAAAAGGTTTACATTTCTGCTTACAAATGGATGGGGCACAGCCACCCTCACGCCCCTTCACACAACACATAGCCAGAAATGGTAAGGGCTATTGCTGGGCATTATCAGGGTGTGTGTGCCGATTCTCACTGACAAACCGCTTGGAACTGGAAAGTGGTTTCCCGTGTGGGGTAGCACAAAAGACTCCTGTGCAGCAATGGGCTTTGTACATCGATTTCCAGGTGGCAAGTGAAGGGACAAAGGAAGGCAACGATTGGAGTGCGTAGAGACCGAGGACCAAGTCAAGAGGTTACATTCCTGGGCACCGGCTGGGTAGGAAGAGGGGAAACTGTGCCCCAATGTCTGTGAGGAGAGATGCCAAACCTTGCCGCACCTGCTGATCCAAAAGAATGGCCGGCTTGAGGAGGAACTTTGGGGTCTTGGAGATGACCCACTGCACTTGGAGTCAGCCTTCTAGCAAGACCTGGGCATGAGGGGCTGAAGGGAAACTCCGCCTGCAACTGCAGACCCAAAGCTCAGGCAGTAATAAAGGCTTTAAAAGGGGAAAAGTTGCCTTACCCATCTCTGGCACCCACCCTGCCTCCACGCCCACGGGCGCTTCATCTAGGCCTGGGGAGGAGGGATGTAAATGAGGATAATGGCAACAAGAGGTGCACTTGAGAGAGCATGAGCCTCTTACCTTTGTTTCTACATGGTGGCAAGGCCCCCCACCGTACTACGCTCCCTTGGAGAAAGTGCTCTTAGCTCCCTAGCGAGGGCTGCAAACTGCCGAGCCCTTAAGTCAAGAGAGGAAGTCCGATTGTCTGTGCGGATTCCTACTTGAAAACTACTTGTAAGAGGTCAACCCGAGCTGCTTGGGGTAACAAAACAGACAGCTGTGCCAAAAGGGGCTTCTACATCCCCTCCCAGTGTACGTAGACCTGAAGAACTGCTGTACCTGAGCCCACCACCTGCCTATTCTTGGACTCCAGAAAACAGTTGTGCTGGGAGCAACGTAGGTGCAGCCCCGCACAGCCATTCGCATGTCCTTTGCAGTCCTCCTGCTCATGGAGCTCTAGGCTTTCACTTTCCCCTAACGCTAACCCTAACCCTAAACTTAAACCTCGCCACAACTTCAGGCAGGGCCTGGAGCAGAGCCCACCTGCCCCCTTCCTGCACTCCAGAAAACAGTTGTGCTGCGAGAAATGTAGGTGCAGCCCCGCACATCCATTCGCATGTCCTTTGCAGCCCCACTGCTCATGGAGTTCTAGGCTTTCTCTCTCTCCTAGTCCTAACCCTAGCGATATCTCTAACCCGAACCCTAGCCTTGGCACTAATATCCGGCAGGGCCTGGAGCTGAGGCCACCTGCCCCCTTCCAGTTCCCCAAGGACAAAGTGGTCCTAGGAGCAGGGTTTGTGCCATCCTACACTTCCTTCAGCATAGTCTTTCCATGCCCACTCCATGGAGGACTCCAGGCTTTCTCTCTCTCTCCTAACCCTAACCCTAACCGTGACGCTAGCCCCAGTCTCCGGCAGGGCCTGGAGCAGAGCCCACCTGCCCCCTTCCGGGGCTGAGGAAAACAGTTGTGTTGGGAGCAATGTAGGTGCAGTCCTGCACATCCTTTCGCATGTCCTCTGCAGCCCCACCGCTCATGAGCTTCCAGGCTTGCTTTCTCTCTAGACCCTAGCCCTAACCCTAACCCTAACTCCAATCCCAGTTGGAGCCAGAACCTGAGCCCACAGCCACCTTTCCTGGACTCAACAAAACTGTTGTGCTGGGAGTAATGTAGGTGCAGCCCTGCACACATCCATTCACATGTCCTTTGCAGCCCCACCATAGATGGGGCCCTAGGCTTTCTCTCTCTCCTAACCCTAACCCTAACCCTAACCCTAACCCTAAGCCTAAGCCTAGGCACAATCTCCAAAAGGGCCGGGAGCAGATCCCACAGCCACCTTTCCTGGACTCAGGGCAAAAGTTGTGCTGGGAGCAATGTAGATGCAGCGTTGCACATCCATTCACATGTCCTTTGCACTCCAAAAGGGCCGGGAGCAGATCCCACAGCCACCTTTCCTGGACTCAGGGCAAAAGTTGTGCTGGGAGCAATGTAGATGCAGCGTTGCACATCCATTCACATGTCCTTTGCAGCCCCACTGCCAGATGGGGCCCTAGGCTTTCTCTCTCTCCTAACCCTAACCCTCACCCTAACCTTAACCCTAACCCTAACCCTAACCCTAAAGCTAGCCGCAGTCTCAGGCAGAGTCTTAACGTAAGCCCAACTGCTCCCTTCCTGGACTCAAGGGAAAAAACTTCCCAAGGAGCAATGTTGCTGCAGTCCTACATGCCCTTTGGAATGCCTTCTGCAGCCCCACTGCTCATGGGCTTCTAGGCTTTCTCTCTCACCTAACTCTAACCCTAACCCTAACCCTAACCCTAACCCTAACCCTAACCGTAACTATAACCTTAACTCTAGGCACAGTCTCAGGCAAGGCCTGGAGCAGAGCCCACCTGCCCCCTTCCTGCACTCCAGACAAAAGTGGTGCTGCGAGAAATGTAGGTGCAGCCCCGCACCTCCATTCGCATGTCCTTTGCAGCCCCAATGCAGATGGGGCCCTAGGCTTTCTCTCTCTCCTAACCCTAACCCGAACCCTAACCCGAACCCTAACCCTAACCCTCGGCCCTATCTCCGGCAGGCCCTGGAGCTGAGGAAGAACGCCAGACACCAGGACGGGCTAGTGGCTGACCGGCTCGAGAGCCGCTTGGCAGAGAAGACCCTGCAGGTGCTGGTTGACAACCAGTTGACCAGGAGCCATCAGTGTGCTCTTGCACGCGTGGAGTGCTGGCTCCAGCTCTGGGCTGCCCAGCACAAGAGAGACATGGAGCTGCAGGAGCGTGCCCAGTGAAGGGCTCCTGAAGGGCTGAAGGGCCTGGAGCATCTGGGCTGTGAGGAAAGGCGGCGAGAGCAGGGGCTGTTTTGTGGAGAGAAGAGAAGGAGCAAGGGGGGATCTTCTCAGTGCATGTCATTATGTGCCGGGCGGGTGTCAAGAGGACAGAGCGTGACTCTTCTCCCTGGTGCGCTTTGTTTCTACATGGAGGCAAGGCCCCCCACCGAACTACACTCCCTTGGAGAAAGGGCTATGAGAAACTATGAAAACTATGAGTGCTCAAGACTTCCAGCTATTTATGTACTTTTGCATGGCTTCATTTTTATTCTGTAATTCCACATAACTAATGGGATATGTGATGGCACAAAATTTGTATAATGAGGTGATAAATTGGGCTGTTATTTTTAAGAGGGGAAGAAGACTAGAGTAGTGACAGGCTTGATTCGTAGCCACCAGTTTATTGCAGCAGGAAAATGCCAATGGATATTAAATGTCTAATTATCATAACTCAAGCTAAATTAATATCTTATCCTCTGCATATATTTCTATTAAAAAGAGAGTTTTCTGCTTAATCATAATATTCTGAAATTATAATGTCACTTCAAATTGTCATGTAAAAATGTAATAATTTGGTCAGATTTCATGAACTAAAATTCAAGGTGGTTTATCAAACTTTTAGTTAAGGTTAGT